TAAATACTTGCTTCATTTTCTCCATGCGCGGAGTTTTAGGAGAAATTGGAGAAAATAATAGAATATGGAGGTAGTGGGGTTGGTGGAAGAATTTAAAAATGTAAAAGGCAAAAGTAGTGGAGAGGATTGGAGGAGAGAGAATATACGTTGAGTCCACTAGATGAGAGAAATTAATTAAATATTGTAAGAGCTTTCCAAAAAAGGAAATGGAGCAAGTATTTAAAAACGGCCGCAAATGGAAAGTGGAGCAAGTATTTAAAAACGGAGGGAGTATTATTTTAATTAAAATTCTATAGTAGTCATTCGATCAAAAAATACATATTTTCATATGTGGATGACAACACCGTGCGTCCGTGCAGTTGGGATTATTTTTTTAGGGGTAACTTCTGACTGATCGAGTAACCCATGACAGACGGAGTAACTCTTAACTAATCGAGTAACCCCTGAGGCCCTGATCAATCAAGTAACCTCTTACTGGCCGAGTAAACCTTGATCGAGTAATCCCTTAATAAGTAACCCCAGTCACGTAGAAAATGTGTTTTTTGAAAATTAATTGCACCGATTTTTAAAATTAGATGGTTGTGATCTAATGATTTTAAAATTAATTAAAATTCATTTTTCTTATTTTAGGAATTCATTTTAAACTTCTGATTTGTGAATTTTTTTTTCCAAATTAATTTATGTAACTCGTTTTTAATTATTTATAAAATCAGAAAATTAAATTATTATTTTTTTCTGAAAATAACTAAATAAGTATTAACATTTAAAAATAGTTCAAAAATCATTAAATATGAACCGTTCATTTTAAAAATAACGACTAAAAAATGATCCTTGTTATAAAACAAAGAATTTGAACTATTGAAGTCATTGTAGGAGATGAACCGGGTCTAAGAGCATCACTATCAACTTATCAAGTATCAACATACAAAGGAAAGGTCTGATCACATTTTTGACGACCACACCTTGTTTTGTTCTAATCTCAGGTGGCCAGCTATACAGTTAAATTGATAGAGTATGCAACAGGAGTTACGGTCAGTAACTCATGAATGCTGACTTAAATAATTGGCATGGGTTGTACACTTGTTCACATTTTGGTTGAGGGAAACATTTTACTAATTTATTAGTTTAGTCTAGTGCGATGCACAATTTAATATTTGTTTTACTTATTTGTTTGTATTTGATACATATTTAAGAAAAACACTAATGAATAGTGTGCCTTCTTATTAGACTAAAGGTAATTAATTTCAATTTAAAATAAAATGTACCCCATTTTACACATGTTTTCAATTTCACCAGTTAGCAAGTTATCAAGGAGGTCTTAAAGACTAAAGGCCTGTTATGATGGACTGAACTGAACTAAACTTATTGGAGCTGAACTGAACTGAACTGAATATTTTATGAGAGAAGAAAATTAAAAACTGAATGGAGCTGAATTGAACTGAACTGAATATTTTATGAGAGAAGAAAATTAAAAACTGAACTGAATGGAGCTGAATTGAACTTAACTGAAAATAAGCTAAAGAGAACATGCCCTTAATTTGAATGAACTGTCACTGAGCAAGGATTTATCCCCACGGAGGTCATTAACGTTTTTTTGAATGTATTTAAAGAGGGTTGAGTTATGCAAATATGACAGATTTTTCTTTATTAGTTTCAACGAACAAAATTTCCATGTTTTGCAATAAAAGCGTGACTAAGAGGTAAAGTTCTCTTTAATCTTAACCTAGGGATGTAAATGAACCAAACCGATCAATAAACTACTTGGGTTCGAGCTCAGTTGAAGCTCGTTTATGTTCATATTTGATAATGAGCCAAGCTTGAACAAATTTTGAAACTCGTTTAATAAATGAGTTTGAACATGCTGAACATAGATTTGCTCGTTCAGGTAAGTTCATGAACAACTCGTTTATTTAATTTATATTTGCAAACTACACGTTTATATAGGTTCATGAATTATTGATTTATTCACAATTGTTAATTTAATTCTAAAATTTTTTAATAATTAAGATTAATTCTTAGGTGTATAATTAGGATTTATTATTATGCTAATTTTGAGATTTTCAAATTAAATGTCAAAAATACAAAGCTCGTTTATTACCATACTCATTCATAAAACGCTTGTTTATCACCTCGTTTAATAAACGAGCCATTTACGAACCGTTCGCGAACATATAGTGTACTAAATGAGCCGAGCTTGAACAAATTTTTGAGCTCGCTTGAAAGCTCGAGATCGTGCTCGGATTCGCCTAACTTAAATGAGCTTGAACACAAACAAGGTAGTACTCGATTCGGCTCGGCTCGGCTCGGCTCATTATTTACACCCCTACTTAAACCACATACTCAATTAGTATTGCAATGAAACGATTTTGGAAAAAATAATGTTATTTGAAAGAAGCGAGAAGAGCTTAGCTTTTGATAAATAAGCTTGTTTCTCTGTCAATTCTTTGTTCAATTTTTTCAATCATTCCCTCCAATCCTATTTAACCGCTTTAATTTATTTCATGTACGTCCATCCTAATTTAATTCAGTTGTCATTATTGAACATTATTAAGCCCATTTCTAGCCAATTCTATTTATAATTTTAGGAGTACTATATAAACTTTATGAAGCTGGGTTTAACTTATATATATCTACTATATATTTTGTCCTCAACACCAACAAAGTTCACCTTTTCATGTATGTGGATGTAGCTAACTTATCATGAGCGAATCACATAAAATATGTGTTTTTGTATGTTGATATCTCGCACTAATCTTTTCTTGCATCTTTTAGTTCAAATGGGTTAGTTGTTTACACTATCTGTAAGACATCGTTTATATGTTAGGAATTGTGGTGACTGGTGACAATAGCCTCAACTTTTGGCGTCTCTTTAGAGTTTGCTACGTAGAATGTGGGTGCGAGTTGTTTATTCAAATTTGTTCAAGGGGGAATGTATGAACCCATACACTTGATGTGAAGATGGTTAAGTGCAAGTGTGTGAATATAAATTTATCATATAGAAAGATGAAGGGTTTGTTCTCATAAATTGAACTCAGCTGAACTGAACTGAACTGAGCTGAACTGAACTGAAATGAATATTTTATAAGAGAAGGAAATTAGGAGCTGAATTGAACTGAAAATAAACGTATGAGAACAGGCCTGAAGAGTGTCACTTTATAATCCAAGTGGTTTACTTCTTTTATTGTCGACTAGCCTTCTGGCCAGAGTAATGCATGGATTGTTTATAAAAATTACATTGAAATTATTGTAGGTGCAATGTGTAAGTGTGTAATAAAAAACATGTATTTAAAAATTAAAATTTTAGAACTTACATTTAAAATTAGGCTTGAAAAAAAAGGTGGATTGGAAGGACTAAGATTAAAGGGAGAGAAGAAAGAGGTTGAATTGAAGAAAGGAGATAAAGATGAATGTTTAACGAAAGAGTTAAGAAAGATAATGTAATAAAAAAAATTAAAAATATAAGATGGCATGTGGCACATTGGGTTGAAAAAGAAGATAGAAAAATGTAATAAAATGAAAACATATATCTTTTTCAATTTAAATTTTTAAATACTCCGTACTAAATATAGATTAATTTTAAGAAGCAACTTCATTGTAGACACCGTGTTAGTAGACCTCTCCCAATCTCCCATATTTGTCCTAAATCCTTCAAAAACTACTCCAAAAATTCACTCATACTAGTAGTCATAAAATGTCAAAGAGAAACCTACATTATATTCAAAAGGAGATCCATTTGTTTGTTTTTTTAGGGATTTTCCATAATTTATTAGTTGAGTTCATCCTTTTTTCATGAAATGTGTCATTTTGCACCAAAAAAATACAAGAGGGACAAAATCCTACCTCAAAATTAAGCCAAAAGGGTGAAGCAAAACATAGACCTTGAGGTAGTACACAATTACCTAACCTAACCTATCCTATCCTATCCTATGTTGGCTAAGTAGGATATTACTAGATACCATAATTTATGAGCTCATATTACATTCAATACTCCTGGATCATAAATTCATAATCTCAGGAAATTCAGATATTTGATACCATAGCATAAAACAAAACATTAATGCTGAAAACTACATCTACATTATTCAGAAATGTATCCTATATTCCAATGTGGTTTTTAATGTTTAGGTTATGTGACAGAACAAAATATTCAGCCCTATTCAAGTCAAAATCAAGAAAATCCCCTATAATTATACTACTACTGATAATTGTACAACTTGCACTGTACATTTAATTAAAACCTACTTATATTCAGTTATTATTTGCCCCAACCATAAAGTAGACATAGGTGAAAGAAAATTAATATTTTGCCCAAATTACTTCTTTGAATAAGACATGATGTCTAGGCTTAAAATTGCAACTTTTCTTCATTTGTAAACTCTGTTGTTCTCGCGTACCTCTCTAGGTTTTCTATATACGATCATACTTTGTTTGATTTGAATTTGGTTTGATTTAATTCCATTCAGGTTATTTTTTTTTATTGATGACTATCTTGATTCTATTTATGATGACCGTCTTAATTCAATTCAATTTAAAAGGTAATTTGTGATTTTTACGCCTATTGATGAGGGTTTTTTTTTTTAATGAAAAATGAACCATTAGTAAATGAAACTAAGTTCACATATAATTTGGTTTGAGTAAATGTCAAATATCAAGGTCCTGTTCTAATAGACTGAAATCAGTTGAACTGAACTGAACTGAACTAAATTGAATTAAGCTGAACTGAACTGAATATTTTATAAGAAAAGAAAATTAGGAGCTGAACTGAACTGAGCTGAATTCAACTGAAAATAAACGTATGAGAACAGACCCTAAGTTAACTAGTTTCCAAACAGTTCGTGTTTTTTAGCTCTACCTCTACGGCACTCTAGTAATCTACTCCACAGGCTAAAAAAATTTAATGTACGACGAAAGGGGTAAGGACGACATAGCTCATAGCCAACAAAATTTGCATCTGTGAAACTAATGTAAAACAAGAAAACATAAATTCACAATAGAGTAACTTGCATTGTCAAAATATAAAGTACTCCGTAAAGTTCAAACCAAACAGAAATGCTTCAATTATGAAGCTCTACTTTGTAAGTAAGACATTTCCTAGTTCGTCTAGCTCATAACATCAATTACTCCTCTCAGTAGCAAGTGCCAAAAATCAGAACACAACATAAGAACAAACAAGCACAAGGCAACAACTCGAGTTTTCAAAAGAGTTATATCATTGAAGAAAACATATCTAAAACAAAACCATCAGTTTAGCTTATCTTCTTTTACATAGGCGAATTGGATGATTAGACCGAATACACATCTTTTGCTCTGAGTTCGAACAATTTGTTGTTTCAGCAAGCAAGAACTGAACTAAGTTACTTAAACACAGAAAAATGGACTCCAATCCTCAACTCAATTTAGGAACAAATAGCATTTTGCTGCTCTTCACTTGGATGGACTCTCAATCGGTAGCTTGCCTTCTTTATTGACACCACCTACAGAATAACATCGATTTATCAATTGTTCACTCCGTTATCCAACTTAACATTAAAGTATACAATTAAGCCAATTTTAAGTGGTTAATGGAATGAAACTCACGGCTTAGGGTAGATAGGTCGGAACTCTTCAATACACGTAACCTCTTTACAGTGGATACAAACATGCTGCAAAACAAACAAGTAATTTCAAACGTCAACAAAATCAAAACTTGTATCATATAAAAAATTTGCAATTTCTTCAACATTGCTGACATAAACACACATCAGAGGCTGCTTATGGATCAAAACAGTAGGTTTATCCTGGAATAGTTTTAAAATCCACAAGCAACTAAGTCCAAGGTACAAGCAATTAGAATATCATTAGCGCTACTAAGCGACAAATTCTTCATGCAAATTGCCAAATTTTAGGATTAATTATAATGCAATCTTATGACGGAGTGCAAACATAGATTCTTTTACTCTTTTACAAAAACATTTATACCATTTACCTTGGACTGCATTAAAATGCTTCACTAACCAACAAAACAATGCATATAATTGTCAACCAAATAGGACTCCTAATCCAGTTTTTCGCTTAATTAATCCAAATAAAAAGCTACCACATTGCTGTTTACGAAATGTCATGACCAATAAGAAGGACGCAACATGGGATAGAGCCGCATAAACTTGATTAAAAATACATAAATCAAATGCCAAGATCCAGAATTATAAAGATGCTTACTGCCATGGGACATCACCAACAAGCATCCTGTCTCCTTCGTTATCCTCATACACCAAAGTATATTCCCCACTTCCATCCAACAATCCGGTAATAGGTTCCTGCTCTTGTTTGTTATCAATCGCACCAGCAGAAGAATCTCTTTGAGCTGATCGGAAAAACCACACGACAAACAATGTGAGCCAATTTTTCATCCATTAATCTACTACAACTTATCGGTATTAATCAACGAAAAAAACCAACAAATAGATCCCTAATTAACCTCCACAGCTTCCTAACCCCCACAAATTAACAAGATTTTTTCTAATAACATGTCAGCCTCATGAAAACATGCCTACCTAAACTTGACTACAGAAAGCAACTATCAGTCAATATATGTATACTGTTTTATATGCATAATGCAACTGATCAACACTAGTAAACGCATTCGAAATTAACACCTAAAAAGCAGTTGACATTTTATCACAATGGAACAGAAGGGTTTCACCTGCAAGAAGCCCTCTGAAAAGCTCAGCAACAGACGACGAGAGGCTGTCATAGTTGTTATGTACACTCAGATCGACTTTCCTTCCAATCGGTACACCATCCATATTAATCTTCACAAATAGACCCTTGTGTGAATTGTCCTTAACTGGTTTTTCATTCACAGGCTTACTTGGGATCGCACTCTGAGGTTCTGGAACCGATTTTCCTGAGCTACTGCTAGCAAGGTTCTTTCGAAACGATCGAATTGGAGGCCAACCCACAACTGGAGTAGGAGCAGCTCTATAAAATTTTGCCCATTCATGGCACAATCATACACAAAACCAAGTCAACTACATAATCTAATCTGCTACAGTATATGCAACTACACATGCTTAAACAAAATAACCCATCAAATCACATAAACACATAGGAATTAAAGAAATCAACCATATATCAGACTAATAAACAAATTTAATGTTTCTAGTACATTAAATTACTAATTATATTCCTTTCTCATTAATTCATTACACAACAATAACAAGCAATCCCCCATTTTTAAGTTCTACTCACTTTCTGTTTTCATCCTCAATAGATTTGATCTAGAATATAATATAATAACATAAATATAAATTTGTTCTTTGTTCATAACATAAAAATTAGTTTGTTCTTTTTCAAAAGGCTAAGGACAAGACTGGTAGAAAACAATAAACATGGCAGCAGATCAAAGCCTAAAATTCCTCATCAAACAAAAACAAACATGGAAAAAACAAATTTCACACATAACTTTACAAAAATACAACTATTTTCAAGATAATAATTAACTTAATAATAGTACTATAACAAAATAAATTCCAAGATTGCTACTGCTAGTAGTATAATGTTATAATGTATGGACCACATTTAAAAACATCTTCAACATACAGTGATGAATATACTCTGTTAACAAACATAAAAATTAATTTTCATTTTCTTCAATAAATATTTTTCAAATTAAATTAAAAAGCAAATAAAAGAGGGGTGAAATTGTACCTTTTCTGAGAAGTGTTGGGCACAGCTGTAAGAGCAGAAGAGGGTGAAAATGCCTTCTTTTCTGCAGACTGTAACTCTGCTATTCTAGTGCAACAGGGCTGTGATGAATCTTTTACCATGACAGTCAAACCATTAGCTTGTTTAGGGCATGTTTGGTACTGCTGTTTTTCTTGATGATGATTTTGCAGAAATGCAGAATTACTTGTAGTTGTTGTTGTTGGTGTTGTTGTTGTTGTTGATGATGATGTTGTCCATAGTTTATGATTCTGCTCCTTACCACACCTGATCACACCACCATTGAAGTATCCTAGAGAGAGAAGTGATTCCTCTCTCTCTCTAGATTTAAGGCCTTGTTTGGCTGACCAATTTCCATTATCACCTGGTAATCCCAACCTTAGTTCTAGCTTGTTCTCTTCATTACATGATGAAGATGAAGATGATAACCCATATATTTTTTCTGAATTTTTATGATTTCCATTTATTAAATCCAACAATTTTGGACTATTTTCACTCATTTTTTTCTCACAAATTTTAAATCAACCAAAAATAAAATTACCCAGATGAATATTTTTTAATTACTGACCACTAAATTCCTCTGCAAAACAAAAAAATAAAATAAAAAAAATAATTACAAAATATGATTAAAAAAAACTTGAGAACAAGAAATGAATGGAGAAGAAAATGTGAAGAACATACCTAGAGTGTGATTGTGGTTGTTACCCAGAAACTGAAATAGCAGAAAAATACCCACATCCTGAAAACAGGGAAAATATAACAATAAAATAAATAAAAATAAACTCAGAAATTAAAATTATGAGAAAATGAAGAAGGCAAAGCTGATAAATATAGGTTTCAATGTTTCAGAAAATGCTACCAACAACAACCAACATATAACAGCAAATTTGAAACCCCACAAAAAGGAACAAAACCCATTAAATTAAATTAAATAATAAATTATAAAAACACTTACCTTTTAATTTATTTTTGCATAGAAATAAAATAAAAAAAAAAAATTAATGGGGATTCTTTTTAGAGCACGCTTAGTGGGTCTCCTTTATTTCTGCTGCTTAAGATTAGTGATTAGATTAAGGAAGAAAAAAATGATTATTTTTTTTTGTTTGTGAATTTTAACTTTTTCAAGAAGATGAAGAAAAAATTAAAGAAGAAAATGAAAAACAGAATTAGAGGAAAAAGCACGCAACCCTGAAAAAATAGAGAGTAAGCAAAGCGTGGAGTGCTGACCTTCTTTGTTATTAGCAGCACAACATCCTAAACATCTTTCTTTTTAATAGGAGTGAGAAAGTGACGGAAAGATAAAAGTAGACAATTTTTTTAATTAAATAAAATTGAGAAAATTAAAAAAGAAAAAAAAAAAAAAAAAAGATTCTTACTGTACTGTTATAAAAAAAAATTAAAAATTAAATTGTGTCACTTCAATTTGGTTCATTTTTAGAGTCGAAGAAATGAACGTATGGTTTATGGAGTGTATTAGTGTGTATATAATATAGAGAATTTATTTTTATTTTTTTTAAAATGAGTAAGGAAAATTTTCCTGCAAGTAGGAGGAGGGAATCCAACTTGATTGGCGTGAGAATCAAACCCCTCTTGTAGCAGTGGCGGATCCAGAAAAAATATTTGACGGGGTCAAAATATATTTACTGAATTTTAATGGGGTTTTATAGGAAAATATTTAATTTTACATAGGAATTTTTTTTCCGTGCTCAAGTGGGGTTATGGGATCCCAGTCAAACAGTGTGCATCCGCCACTGTCTTAATAGAGGTAAAAGGCGAGCCTTCAACCAACTAGGCTAACCTTGATTCTCTATATAAAATAATGATGTTTATCTTAATTACTCTAATAAATAGGATTGTGTGGTATAGTGGTAAAAAAAAATTACCTTTGGTATAGTGGTTGGATTTCTTGCCTAAGAAGAATTTTTCTATTTTTGATGTTTTATGTGGAAGAGCTTTTGGGGTTTGTAGTGTAAAAAAGATGGTTGGTTTGTGTCTAATTCGAGTGTTATTTTTTACTACTCCGTAGTTACAAGTTAAATATGAGAGCTTTTGACCTTTTCCTTCTTTAGGATCTTGAAACTTTTTTAAATTGGGGTTAAGGAGTGTTGTTTTAATGTTCATGATTAATTTGGATTTTATCGCCAAATTGTTGTGCTTGATTTGTAAAATAAATTGGTAAGTACCACCTAATTCCTATTTTATATCAAAAGACTTAAAAGAGTGTAAGAGATGAGGGTGGTTTTATATATATATCTATAACTCTATAACTTTATTCTAAAGGCGAAATCAGGAATGACACATGTCATCTCCTGGTTAAAAATTTTCCCTCAAAAAGTTTTTTTTTTTTAAATTTTTTTTTTAGCCAAAGCTTCTTAGGAAAGTTTTTAATAAAAACTATGCAATAATATTTCATTTCCTATTTGATAAGTACATTCTATTTGTACACATTCAAACAAAGATATTATTTTTTATACAATAATATGCAATAATAATTTGCTATCTATAACTTTGTAATATAATTCATAGTAATTTTTATTAGTGGTGCATATATCATTCTCTCTGTTTTCTTTAGTGAGATAATTTTTTTTAATTTTTTTTTTTTTTGTATTACAGAATTTTCATCCTATTTTGCAATTAGGTATAATTTTTTATAATTAAATAATAGTGTTGAACTAATGATAAGTATTAAGTATTAAAAATTATCGTGCATGGCACGGGTTTTAACCTAGTGTGTGTGTGTGTGTATATATATATATATATATATATATATATATATATATATATATATATATATATATATATATATATATACTAAAGGAGAAACCAGAAATGACACTTGTCATAACCTGGTTAAAAAATTTTCCTCCAAAAAGTGTTTTTTTTTAAAAAAAAAAAAAAATCCCCAAAGCTTCTTAGAGAAGTATTTAATTTAATACTTACTTTACAATAATATTTCTTTTCTATTTGGCAAGTATATTCATTTTTACACATTCAACAAAGAATTATTTATTTATTTATTTTATGACGGGAACAATACAATAATGTAATCTTATCTATAACTTTGTAATGTAATCCATAGTTATTTTCATTAGTCGTGCATGCATTTCTTCCTCCGTTTTCTTTAATGATTAAAAAAAATCGTAATTACAGAACTTTCATCCTATTTTGCAATTTGTTATTATTTTTTACAGTAAAATCAATATACTTATATTAAAGGCGAAACCAGAAATGACACTTGTCATAACCTGGTTATATATATATATATATATATATATATATATATATATATATATATATATATATATATATAACCTTTTATGCTTTGTATTAACTCAACATCAACAACAATTAATTGTTATGTGTCATATTAGTTCAATAGCTTTGGCTAAAATTTTACTACTCCATAAGAAGTGTACTATGATTGTTTGGGATAGATCAAGACCACCAAGTGATTGGAAAATCGAAATTATAAGTTACTCCAAAAATTTAAGGGTAAGGGGTTTGAGTGTCACCTCTATCACTTTCTATAATGGTAATTTTGCATGTAAAAAAAATAAGAGTTTAGAATATGACTTCTACCTAGTACAAGAAAACAAAACAAAACAAAAAAAAATTAGTAGAAAGTTTTAATTGTATTAATTAGTTATCTATAAACTCTAGTAGTTTTAAACTAAAGAAAATAATGGTCAAAATTTTGTATTTGGAACCCTTCAATAGGCTAATGGAGGAAAAAAAAACTCAAACTGAGAAAAAAAGCTAAAGAGAGTTCGATATGAATAGTTTGGGTCAATTTTGCTTGAACTTGGTCAACTTTTACTGAAGGCCAAGTTAGATATTAGATTATATGATCGGTCAAATTAGATTATGCTCTCAAGTCTCAAGTGTTGATATTTCCTTTAAATAAATAAATAAATAAATAAAGAGCTTATTACAAACCATTTAAATCTAACTTTTGGACTATAAATATAAATTAACTATTATATTCTGCACATTTTTGCAGATTGAATGTATCAAGTAGTGCATTAAGTTTCACACATGCAAAAACCATCTCAATAAATAAAAATAAATAAAAAAAAATTCCCACAAATCATATTATTACTTGCAAATTGAAGGTATCTTTTTTTTTTTTTTTTGGTTGAAACAATTGAAGGTATCTAACCCATAATATTTTATACATGCGGTCATGCGAAAAGTACGTAATTAAAACATATGTTTTCTTTTACGAGTACAATATTTGCATGCTCTATTTTCCTATAAAACCGATGAATATAAATTTTTGTAATATTCAGAATTACAAAAATAAACATAGGACTCGTAGTAATTTTTCAGAATTTTTTTCATTAATAAAAGGGACATGAAATAGTATTACATAATTAGAATAACAAATTTTGTCACACTCCAATATTAGCGTACATGTGAATATACACCTGAAAAAAATATGGTGTAACAAGAAGATTTACACGATCTAAACAGGCAGATGATGGCAGTAAATATACATGCAGATTTAATAATGAATGTCTCCAGAAAAGCAGGCCAATATTCAATTTTAAGGCACTAAAAAAAGACGTCTTAATTAATTTTTAATAGAAATTCCTTTTTAAGGGTGTTAGATTTGTTGGTGATTGATTTACAACCGTAGGATGCATTATAGTATAATTAAATAAAAGAGGTAAGAAAATGGCAATAACAACACATAAATCAAGGAAAAAGCAAGAAGAAACAGTCGACATATGGTTGCAGCAGACGGTATCAGGTTGAAAGGACTCCTACTTTACATTTTTTGTCTACCATATTCCATATTACACCCTTGTCTTTGTGAGCTTAAGGCCGATCACCTCTTCTCAATTCTCATAGATCAAACAACTTCATAATCAATTAGGGGGTGTTTGGCAAGTGGGAATTGAGGGTGGGATTGAGAATTTTAGGTCATGTTTGATAAATGGTTTTTTTGGTGGCTTTTTGGTTAGCTTTTGGCTTTTGGCTTTTTTATGAGGTCAAATAGCCAAAAAATGTGTTTGATAATTGACTTTTTAGTCAGTGAAAAAGCTGGCTTTTAAGCCAAAATGAAAAAGCTGCTTTGAGTAGCTTTTTTGTTGGCTTTTGGCTTGTTGGCCCACAAATTATCTAATAAACAGCCAACAACTAACAATTAATTTACCAAACACTTTTATAAACAGCCAGCTTAAACAGCCAATTTCAAAAGTCATTATAAACAGCCAAACATTCCAGCTGGTCAAACAAGCCAAGTGAACCAGCCAACACCCAACCGCCAACAGCCATTTGCCAAACAAGGCCTTAATCTTAATTGAAAAAATAAGTCTTGTTTGTTTGGTGGGAATGGGAATAAAAAAAGGATTTGCGAATGGGATTATTTATGGGTGAATTCTCACCTTTTTATTACCTAGGGAAGGTAGGTAATAAATAAATGGAAATGGTAATAGGGGAAAATGACATTTTTGCCATTACTGAAAAGAATGAAATAATAATCTTAGTAAGAGTATTTTTGTAAACTTGTTATTTATTCCCTATATATTCTCATCCACTATCCAAACAAGGTATTGACATATTTTCATGTATTTCCATCAATTAATTTTCAATCCCATTCCCACATTTTAATCCCCAAACTCTCATTCCCACAATCCAAACGCACCGTTAATGGTGTGCCAAAATCATTTTTCAATAAATTGATAGAGTATAAAATATATTTCTGGAGCTTAATTATTAGTTTAACCTTTTAGTTGAGTTAGTTTATTAACATGGTATAGAGCCACTGTGACACAAAATATCACGCGTTCAAATCTTATCCACCCCTATGTGATTAGGTATCGGATGGGAGTATTTTAAGAATTTTTACATATGCCTAGGTGCATGATGTGCATCTATCATTAGTATTTATGTTTATGTGTAAATCTAAGACTCTACTTAAACTCTTAGTTGATGGTTAATTAATATAATTTCCCTTTCTCTTAATAAAAGTATATTTAAGACTCATCAAGGCCCTATTCTTTTGAGCTTCTGGGCAGAGCAGAGCAGATTTCAGCAGAGCAAAGCAGAGCAGAGCAGAGCAGAGCAGATTTCAGCAGAGCAAAGCAGATTTCAGCCGAGCCGAGCAGAGCAGAGCAGATTTTATTATTATTA